TGTGAGACTCCAGAATGCTCCTCATTCTCACTGGACTCAGTGTGGACTGATCCTCTTCTTCTGGTTGAGTGGGGCACAGTGTGCGAGGACTGCCCACGACTAGACTGCTCAGATCTAGAGGTATCTCTTGACTGCCGTTGCGTCGTTCTTTGTGTCCCCTGACCTGAGGATCCAGACTCTCCCTGTTGAGATCCTGCTTGGCCTTGATGGGATCCTGTGTGTCTGTGTGAGACTCCAGAATGCTCCTCCCTCTCACTGGACTCAGTGTGGACTGATCCTCTTCTTCTGGTTGAGTGGGGCACAGTGTGCGAGGATTGCCCACGACTAGACTGCTCAGATCTAGAGGTATCTCTTGACTGCCGTTGCGTCGTTCTTTGTGTCCCCTGACCTGAGGATCCAGACTCTCCCTGTTGAGATCCTGCTTGGCCTTGATGGGATCCTGTGTGTCTGTGTGAGACTCCAGAATGCTCCTCCCTCTCACTGGACTCAGTGTGGACTGATCCTCTTCTTCTGGTTGAGTGGGGCACAGTGTGCGAGGACTGCCCACGACTAGACTGCTCAGATCTAGAGGTATCTCTTGACTGCTGTTGTGTCGTTCTTTGTGTCCCCTGACCTGAGGATCCAGACCCGTGCTGTCCAATGCCAGAGGACTGACCTGAGTCAGACCCATGCTGGCCAAAGCCAGAGGACTGACCTGACCCATACCCGTGCTGGCCGAAGCCAGAGGACTGACCTGACTCAGACCCGTGCTGTCCAAAGCCAGAGGACTGACCTAGGCCAGACCCATGCTGTCCAAAGCCAGAGGACTGACCTGACCCAGACCCGTGCTGTCCAAAGCCAGAGGACTGACCTGACCCATACCCGTGCTGGCCAAAGCCAGAGGACTGACCTGACTCAGACTCGTGCTGGCTGAAGCCAGAGGACTGACCTGACCCAGACCTATGCTGGCCAAAGCCAGAGGACTGCCCTGAGCCAGACCCGTGCTGTCCAAAGCCTGAGGACTG